TTGTCTTTAACCTGGAAGAATGCCAGATATCAGAAGTACTTAATGCCCACCACTGCCCCCGCATCTCCTGTTATTACCCAGTCATCCTCCCACCTAAATAATAATCTCCTAATTGCTAAAATCCGGCTCCAGTGGCCAACAGATTCTAGACATTCCTAGATGGAGGCCCCCCAGTGTCTCAGAAACGCTCATGCCTCCCATGCAAATAGCCAACAGGCAGCCCACACGCTGACCACAGGACTTCATTGGCCATGCTGACAACAATCTCAGCTGGACCCACTCGGGAGAACATCTGACAGTAACTATAATGAGACATTCTTATTCTCTAAGGATGAGAAAAGCAAGGCTCTGAGAGATGATGCAACCTGTCTTCCTAAGAAGGTAGAACCGGGAGTCTGTCTTGACAGCAAAGCCTGGGGCAAGCCACCATTTCTCTGGGCCCCAGTTTCCCTGTTGAAAAGCTGGGGCCGTGAAGCCTTCCCTGGCTCCCGCTGCAGGTTGGCGTGGGAAATCAGGTGATATCATGCTTTGACAGATGTGTGGTGGATGAAAATGAGCGGAGGTGGATCTTTGTGATAGAAATAATGATGCCTGTGTTCAAAGGTATGCTTGTGATTTTTTTTCTCTATTTGAAGATGAAGCACTTCCCAAGAACGTCTGAAGAGGAAAAATCGTTGCTCTTCGATGATGGCCATTTTGAAACTACCAGTTTTCCACCAGGGACTGTTGTTATGCAACATGAATAGGAGTATATGGAGGAACAGTGAAATAATTTCTATCTTTAGTGTTCACAAAGCACTTTCAGATCCATGGCCCACCGAATCATTTCATGCTGAGGACTTCAGCTTTGGCATTTGGAAGACCCATGATAGGTTCCTCATTCCAACACTTACGAGCTGGGTGAGTGGGCAAGGCCCTTCACCTCTCCAAACCTCAGTTTCTTCACCCATAAAATGGGATGATTCTATTTAAAGAGTAGTTCAGAGTATTAAGTGTGGTGGCACATACTGAGTACTCAAACAGCCTGGCCCAAGGTAAATGCTCAGTAAATCCTAGCTAATAGTATTGGTTTGGTTTGTAACGCCACCCTCATGATCACGCTGATGAGGTCCGTGGTATTATATACCCCATTCCTGAGACGAGAAACATGTGACCAGAGACCGTCCTTGTCTCGCCCGGGGTGGCCTGGCTAGTGGGTGACAAGCCAACCCAGGCTCCAGCTCCCGCCCTTGGTCCCTGACCCTACAGTTGCTGAATATTCAGTTGGTCAGTGTTCCTCCATATTCAAAGACCTTTGTTTGAGGTTAATAAGAGCTCTTTGTTGCTGTCCAGAAGGAGTGGCCTCCAGCCAGGGCCTGGACCCTTTAGCCTCTAGGCCCCGGCCCGCCCCACCCCCCACGTTGGCTCTAGGGAGCCGCTGTTACTAATGGAAGTGGATCATATCCGCAGGGTGCGCAGGGGCAGGGAAGTGGAAGGTTGAGTGAGATTCGCCAGCAACTGGCAGGGTTCCAGGCGCGTGTCTGTGTGTCATCTGCAGTGAGACAGCTGACCGTTGTGTCTGAACATGCTCATCAGAGAGGCCAACGTTCCAAATCTGCTCTGTCAGACTCCAGCTCAGAGAGCGTGGCCTTGGCTGGTTCCCCCCCCCCCAGCCCTCCCTCCTCCTGTTAGCTGTAAGTACATTTATGAGCCCACTGCATGCCAGGGCCTCTGCTGGTTGCCTTTCTCCCCATGGGGTTGCCTTCACTGCTCATGGGCTGGCCCCTGTGGGTGGGTCCCGTGCTTGGCCGGGCAGCCTCCAGGGTGATCCTTGAAAATGTGGTCAGATCTCGATGGGCTTCGGCTCCGAGCCCTCAGTCCGCCACATCCAAGTGTCAAACCCAGCCCACAGAGTCTGACTCTATCTGGCCCCAGGCACCTCTCTATAACCTCTGCTTTTCCTTGCTCCCTGTCCCAGTTACCTATTGTTGTTAGCACACTACTCCAAACGTGATGGCTTACCCTGTTTTATTGTTTCTGCTGACTCTGTGCGCCGGGAAATCAGCAGGGCATGGAAGAGATGGTTTGCTCTGCTGCATGTCCTGTCTGTTGGGTCTGCAGCTTCCAGAAGGCCTCTTCGTACCCATGGGGGCACTCCATGAGGATGACCCAAGGGCTGGGGACTGGCTGCAAGAGCTCACTGGGGTCAGAGCCAGAGACTTTGGTTCTTGCTGTCCACTGTTTCCTTGGGTCTCTTCCTTGGACACTTGAGTCTCTTCCTGTCCACATGGTTGTCCCAGCAACATTGGCAGACTTCTTACACGACAGCCTTGGGGTCCCAACAGCACAAAAGTGGGAACTTCCAGGCCCTTTTAAGGCTTGAGGCTTGAATTGGCAGAGCAACATTTCTTGTTGCAGTCTTGGCTAAAGCAAGTCACAGATCCAGCCCAGATTCAAGGGGACTGCAGAGGGGCTCGTGTGGCTCATTGGAGGTCAGCAACAACAGAGCCTATGAGGCTCCTGTTCATTCATCCTCCTCTAGCCACATAGGTCTCCATGCTCTTCCTCAAGCATGCCGTACACACCCCTGCCTCAGGGTCTTTGCACTTGCTGTTTCCCTCTCCTGGGATGCTCTTCCCCAAATATCCATAGGGCTCATGCCCTCTATTCAGCCTCAGCTTAAATGCTACTTTAGTACAGAGACCATACCTGATCCACCTTCTCAGAACCGGTGCACTCCGCCTATCACCTGTCTCCTTACCCCACTCTGTTTTTGTTTTCACACTTATCACCTCCTGGCATAATATTCATCACCTATTTACTGTCTAATCTTCCCCTCCCCCACCTCAGAATATAAGTACTATGTGAATAGGGCATTTGCTTTGTTCATGGCAGTATCTCTAACTCCAGATCGGACACATGGTAGATATATTTGTTGAATGAATGAGTATTTGAGATAAGGAAACTGAAGTTCAGAGGTTAAGTAACTTTCCCAAAGACACACACGCTAATAATCGACAGAGCTAGCATTCAAACCCAAGCAATTTAGCATCTAATATTAAGTCTTAAAAGTTTTGCTGCCTAGGGGCGCCTGGGTGGCTCAGTCGTTAAGCGTCTGCCTTCGGCTCAGGTCATGATCCCGGGGTCCTGGGATCGAGCCCCACATCGGGCTCCCTGCTCAGCGGGGAGCCTGCTTCTCCCTCTCCCACTCCCCCTGCTTGTGTTCCCTCTCTCGCTGTGTCTCTCTCTCTGTCAAATAAATAAATAAAATCTTTAAAAAAAAAAAACATTTGGGTATGTGTCTTTAAAAAAAAAAAGTTTTGCTGCCTATGGTGGTAATTACTTAGGTAATTATGACTGTTTCCTACTTCCTCTCCCCGTGTCCTGTCTCCATTCAAGGTAGTCTTTCCACAACTAAAATTGGATCAGGCATAAAACCCATCTTGAAGGTAGCGTCCCTCAACTTCAGTGGAAGGCCCTCCCTTCTTAGACCACTGCATAAGGCTCAGCAAAACTTGGCCTCCAGCAGTGGCGTGATGTAGTAGAGCAAATACAGATTTTTGAGTCAGGCAGACCTAGTTCTGTTTACAGCGCCCCCACTCACAGGTTAAGCATGAGCTAATTAGTAATGTCATCCATCCATCCATCTTCCCATCCATTCACCCACACATCCATCTTCCCATCCATCCATCCATCCATCCGTCCAATGAGCATTTATTGAATTCCTCCCTGAATCAAGGATGGTGCTAGGTCCTGGGGTGCAGTGGTGAAGACATCATCACAGTCCCTGCCTTTGGAGAATTTCCAGTCTCCTGGAGGAGACAGATGTACTCACACAGTCACACAAATAAATTTATTTACAAATATGTATTTATTTACAAATTGTGATGTGCTATAAAGGACTTAGTGTGTGTGGGGGAAATGTGTAACAAGGTGCCGGTAATAGTGCAGTGCGGCAGGGGCGGTTTCCCTGAGGAAGTGATGTGTGAGTAGGAGCTAATAGGATAAATAGGTATGGCAAGTGCATTCCAAGCAGAGGGAACAGCATATGGAAGGTCTCTGAGGAGGAAACAGGGCCCATCTTCGTATTTGAAAGATCCTAAAAAATAAGTGGTTGGAGGGCAGAGAGCTTGAGGAACTGCAGACACAGACAAGAATCTGACCATGCAGAGCTTTGAGGACCCTGGGCATGGAGTTGGGCAACCCATCAACTTTATTTTCTCATCTGTAAAATGGGATTGATAATAGTACCTACCTCAGTATGTATGAGCATCTACGGTCAGCTGAGTGACAGCTGGCTGTAGGCTGGCCTGGATGGTCTCAGCTGGGGCAATCGTCCCTGCTCCAATGGTCTTATCCTTCAGCAAGTCAGCTTGGGCTTGTTTACATGGTGGCAGCTGGGATCCAGAGAGCAGCCGAAGCCAGCAAGGCTTACAACTGGCCAGCATCACTTCCATTGCATTCTGTTGGTCCAAGCAGATCCCACGGCCAGCCCAGATCCATGAGTGCGTGTGAAGCTATTAACACAATGCCTGGTGCACGGGAAGTGCTCTGTCAATACTATTATTATTATTGTTGTTGCTGTTGATGGTATCATTATGCATTTGCATAATGCTTTATGCTTTTCGGAGTTTTATCCTATATATCATTATAGCCCACACTTTGGGAAGATAGTTGGGGCAAATAGTACTAGTCCCATCTGACAAATGTAGATGAGTTTAGGTAACTGGCCGAGGTCACACATTTAGCTGGTAGCTGCATCCAAACACTAGAACTCAGATATCATGTTACCTAAAGTGTATTTGCACATGCAGCTGCTGAAAGTGAACCCATTTGCAGATGATGGCATTGTCCTGAGCACCATCCTGGTAAATAGAATAATGAAGGTACAAATGCTATTGTCAGGGGCGCAGACTGGTGACCGTCTGCATGATTTAGGTAGGCAAAAAAAAAAATTTTTTTTTTATTGGCTCCCAGGTTCTGTGGTTATTGATGGTTCTCTTTTTTTCTGTCTTGCCCAGAGAACCTCTCTTTGGACTCCAGTGGCTTTTCTTCTCCACCTGTGAATTTCCTTCAAGAATTGCCAAGCTATCGGTCCATTGCACGCAGGAGGACGACCATTCTTTCCCGAGACAAGCAAAGCGGCACTTTGCTGAAGCCGACAGACTCGTACAGCTCCCAGCTGGAGGGAGGAATCACCGAAAACCTCAATAGCCAGTCGATTCGGAAGTATGCACTGAACATCTCTGAGAAGCGGAGGCTAAGGTTTGTTTGGTGGCCATCTAGAAAGCATCTGATGTATGTTTTGGGCAGAGGTTTTATGCACGGAATGCATTTCCTGAAGAGTTCACGTAACTAGAAATGTATTACTTAGGGTCAGCCAAGCTGCAGCAACAATGTTACCCAACATGTACTAGCTCAATGTATTAGAAGTTTATTTCTTGTTCACATAAAAGTCCTGGGTTCAGATCAAGGGGGAGCTTTGCAGTCATTCAGGGACCCAGGCTCCTTCCATCTTCTGGCTCTGCAACCCCCCCAGAGCCTCATTGTTGTCTCCAGTTCCTCCTGTTTCCCCTCCCCTCAGCCCCTGTCAACCTCTGCTCTACTCTTTGTCTCTAAATTTGCCATTCTGGACATTTCAGGTAAATGGAATCATACAACATGTGACCTTTTGAAACTGGCTTTTTTCACTTAGCATGATGTTTTCAAGGTTTATCCAAGTTATGGCATGTATCAGTACATGATAGTCATTCCTTTTTATGGTTGAATGATATTTCATTGTATGGATGGATATGTCTCATTCTGTTTGTCCATTCATCTGTTGGTGGACATTTGGGTTGTTTCTACCTCTTGGCTATTGTGAATAGTGCTGCAATGAACATTTATGTACAAGTTTTTGTTTGGGACCCTGTTTTCAGTTCTTTGGGGGTATCTACCTAGGAGTGGGATTGCCGAGTCATAATGGTAATTCTGTGTTTAACGTGTTGAGGAATATCCAGACTGTTTTTCCTAGTGACTACACCGTTGTAAATTTCCACCAGCAGTGTATGAGGGCTCCAGGTTTTCCACATCCTCTTGGCTGGGGTTTTATTTGATGCTGAGGCTTGATGACACTTTCCTGATCATTGTCATGATTGTTTTTTAATGCAGGAACATTCAGGAGACCCAAATGAAGTATTTATCTGAGTGGGACCAGTGGAAACGGTATAGCAGCAAGTCTTGGAAGAGGTTCATAGGGAAGGCTCGTGAGATGACCACCCACTTGGAGCTGTGGCGGGAGGACATTCGCAGCATAGAAGGTACCATACCCCCCACTCTGCACATGCTCCTCTGTGGAAGACTTCTGTGCCTGGGGGAACGTACAGCTTCGTTTCCTCTAAGCTCTAGATGAAATTTAGCACTTCCTTCCACGATGAATGGGAGCAATGGCACTAGTTAGGATTAGCAGAACCTGTGTCTTCATCCCCAGGAAAATCAGATATTTTCCTATTCCTTCCAGTTGTATTATCTTGGAATATCACTTGTGCTCATCACTACTTTGAAATTGCAGCAAGGAATCTGTAAGATCGGCCACTAGGTCTTGTTATTTAATGTGCTAATGAAGAAGCTCATGCATTATTTTAGCACAAATTTGGTTTTTAATATTATAACCGTATGTCCATTTGTATTTGGTGCATTTATTTTTTTATTTTTAAGATTTTATTTTTTTTTTAAGTAGTCTCTACAACCAACATGGGGCTTGAACTTACAACCCTGAGATCAAGAGTCCCATGCTGAGCCAGCCAGGTGCCCCTGTATTTGGTGCATTTATTATTTTATTTTATTTTATTTATCATATATATGCAAAATATATGATTCCATTTATTTTTTCCAATTTTTTATTTAAATTCTAGTTAGCTAACATATAATAGTTGGTGCATTTATTTATTTATTTTTTAAGATTTTATTTATTTATTTGACAGAGAGAGACAGCGAGAGAGGGAACACAAGCAGGGGGAGTGGGAGAGGGAGAAGCAGACTCCCAGCCGAGCAGGGAGCCCGATGCGGGGCTGGATCCCAGGACCCTGGGTCCATGACCTGAGCCAAAGGCAGATGCCTAACAACTGAGCCACCTAGGCACCCCTATTTGGTGCATTTAAAATGTTATTCTGAGATGGGGTTCATTAGGTTTCACCTGACTGCCAAAGGTGCCCATGGCCCTGAAAATACTGAAGATCCCTACTTTTCCATATTGGTAAGAATTGGGTTGTAGTATGGTCAGTGAGCTCTGGTTGCTATAACAAAATACCATAGACAGGGTGGCCGCAACAACAGAAATTTCTTTTCTTTTCTTTTTAAGATTTTATTTATTTATTTGAGAGAGAGAGAGAGAACATGAGTGGGGAAAGGGGAGAGGGAGAGGAAGAAGCAAGACCCCCTGCTGAGTGGGGACCTCCCCCCCAATGTGGGGCTTGATTCCAGTACTCTGGGACCATGACCTGAACCGAAGGCAGACACTTAACTGACTGAGCCACCCAGGTGTCCCAAAATTTATTTTCTTATAGTCTGGAGACTGGAAATTCAAGACCAGGCTGCCTTCTCACTGTGTCTTTACATGACCTCAACTTTGTGCACTCTTGGGGAAAAAGAGGGAGAAAGAGAGAGAGAGGGCTTGAGTTCTGATGCCTCTTCTTGTAAGGCCACTAAATCCCATCATGGGGACCCACTCTTACAACCTCATTAAACCTAATCACCTTGCAAAGGCCCCACCTCAAGATACCATCACATTAGGGGTTAGGGCTTCAGCATGTGAATTTGGGGTGGGGGTGGGGAGTGGAGGATACAATTCAGTCCATAGCGAGTATATAGAAACTAGAAATTGTGCCAAAATATAAAATTAGGAAAAAACATTGAAACATTTGGATGACATAGCAGAGCCGGGGGGAAATTCCTCTTAGGATGACATAGTTTGTCTTATAAAGCAAAAACTATTTACAAACAACTCCTCAAATCTGCTGAAGTGGGGATTTTGTCAAGTGGCAACGATGAATGGAAGAAATGCTGTCATTATTACTATTTTAAGACCTATAAAATACTCGGGCCGCCTGGGTGGCTCAGATGGTTAAGCGTCTGCCTTCGGCTCAGGTCATGATCTCAGGGTCCTGGGATCAAGTCCTTCATCAGGCTCCCTGCTCAGCAGGGAGTCTGCTTCTCCCTCTCCCTCTATCCCTCCCCGCCACTCATGCGCACACTCTCTCTCGCTCAAATAAATAAATAAATAAATAAAATCTTTGTTTAAAAAAAAACTATAAAATACTCTTGATACCTTAATTCAACGAAATACCTTTTTAAATTGTTTTATTGGGGGAATGTAAATGCAATCACAAGGGGCTTCATAGGCTCACTTAAAACTTAACCATCTAGTTGTGTACTTTTTCTGAGATCTGAGCACAGCATCATGTTTGGAGCCAAATAATAAAAGCTAGCCCCAGTTGAGCTTTTTTTTTTTTTTAAAGATTTTATTTATTTATTTGACAGAGAGAGACACAGCAAGAGAGGGAACACAAGCAGTGGGAATGGAAGAAAGGAGAAGCAGGCTTCCCACGGGGCAGGGACCCTGATGCAGGGCTTGATCCCAGGACCCTGGGATCATGACCTGAGCCCAAGGTAGATGCTTGACTGAGCCACCCAGGCGCCCCCCCCCCCATTGAGCTTTTACTGTGAGCGGGGCATTGTGTTAAACATTTTCCTCATATTGCCTTAGTTAATCCTCTTAAGAACATTTCATATAGGTATCATTTGCATGGCTAAGAGAGGTTAAAATACTTTTCCAAAGTACACTCAGCTAGGATGAAGCAGACCCAGGATTTGAAGGATTTGATTCAGGCCGTCAAGCTTCCAAGTCCAGGGGTTCAGCCACCATGCCCCAGCTTCCTTTCTCGTTTAGTGGTGGCCTTTCTGGAGGTTTTTGTTCAGAACATGGCTTATGAGAATTCAGGAATAGATTCATACATTTAGGCTCAGTTACAAAAGCACTGCTGCAATTCAGTGGGGAAAGGGTAGTCTTTTCAGTAAATGGTACTGAGTCAATTCGATATTCAGATAAGGAAAGATGAATATTGAGTCCTGCCTCACACCACTGTCAAGTAGTTAATTCAAGGTCAAGTGTAGATTTAGAAAAGAGAACCTTAAAGCCAACAGTAGAAAAACAAAATATTTCTTCCTCCCTCCCCCACCAAGATCACTCCAACTTCAGCTTTGTGGCCGATTGGATCTACTGGGGGTAACGCGTGTGTAGGTCAATACTCCTGGTCAGTGATGTCTGGATTTCTTTTTTCCAGGGAAATTTGGCACTGGGATTCAGTCCTATTTCTCCTTCTTGCGGTTTCTTGTGTTGCTGAATTTGGTGATATTTCTGATCATCTTTATGCTGGTTTTGCTCCCGGTCTTGCTCACCAAATACAACATCACCAACAGCACTTTTGTGGTCATTCCGTCCCAAGACACGGGTGAGTCTAAGGCCTGGTTTGCTGTGAGAATGTTCTTGCCACTGTGTACCTATCTACAATGCTTCCTTCTCTGGAAATCTTTCTATTCTAAGTTGCGGGTGCCTGCATCAGGATGGGCTCAGTTATGCTGCAGAAACAAATGACCCCATAACTCTTAGCACTAATAACCACAAAAGGTTCTTTCTCACTCCTAGTACGTGTCCATCACTGTTTGGTGGTGGCTTTGTTCCGTATTGTCTTCACTCTGGAGCCCAAGCTGATGGAGCAGCCTCTCTCTGGACCATTGATGGTCACTATGTCCAAAAGAAAAAGGGCCAGTGCAAACACACTGGCTCGTAAAACTCCTGCCTGGAATGACACCTGTCATTTCTGCCACATCTCATTACCCAAAGCAAGTCACTTGGCCCTTCCTGATTTCAGCAAGGCATTTGGGAGGAGCACTGCGGCTAAGAAAGTGGAAAATTTAGCACACGTGATATCACCTACTCCAACTCCAGTAACTTTGAGACGTTTATGCCATAATTCTCAACATAGGTCCCATCTTTTGGGCATCCTGCGCTGTCAAACAGGGAGAGTTTCTGTCATTCTACAAACATTTATTGATTCCCTTCTAGGTACCAAGCTCTGTGCTAGGAGCCAGAAGTAGGCGAGCTGAGTCAGAGCCTGACTTATGTGAGAATTATAAAATGGCAGAACTGGAATCTTGGAACTACCCAAGGTCTTGGAGAAACTGGTTCAACTCCCTTCTTTAGCGAAGGAACATAGGAAACTAAGGCCCAGAGTAGGGGTGGTAGATTGGGTTATTTTTCTCGATTTGTCACTCCCCTGTAATTGTGACTTGTAGGGCCGCCCACTGTGGGCAGAGGATACTTTCTGCCCCCATTGGTATTGCACTTGGCCGTGTGGCTGGTTTTGTCCAATGGAGTATTAGCTTGAAACAGCTTGTGTGGTTGGCTTGCCTATGAGAAGAGCATCACCAAATAACCATTGCCTCAGCCTGGGTCCCAGAATGAAGTCATATAGTGCAGACCTGAGCCCAGCTGGAGGCATGGGATCCATCCTAGCTCAGTCTAAATCAGCTCAATGAACTCAAATTGCAGCTCCATGAATGAGAAAAATAAATGTTTGGTATGTTCAGTCACTGAGACTTTGTGGTTCTCTGTTATGCAGCAATGGCTCACTGATACAGGGAAAGTGAATTAGCTGTTCAGGGATAAGGTAGTGTCATTAAAATTGGTACTCAAATGATTTCTTGGTTATTTATGCCTATGTAAACATATAGGTTGTCTTAATGAAGCTGCGTGTCTATTTATACACGTGTAGAGATCTTTTAAAATTCGTCATACTTACAGTGGAATCACAGTTAATGTCAATCACATCTTCCAAAACATGTGCAAACATGAACCCCAAACCACAAAATACCCATACAGACAGAAAATGTGCACTGTAAGTAGACCCACATACAAAACATATAGAAAAAGACATACTAACATCTCTAAATGTATATACATGTGCGTGCCTTTATACACAAATTATGATAGCCAAGTTGTAGTGACTGTAAAACTTTTCCACTGATGTTCTTGTTTTTGTTTTTTACAGATGTTCAATGCACAGTTTATCCAATAAGTAGCTCTGGACTCATTTACTTTTATAGTTATGTCATAGACTTGCTCTCTGGCACTGTAAGTATTCTAACATAATTCCGCATTTGGACCTTTGATAGGCTGAAAATAGGTTAATTTAAAGATCAGGCTCCTGAATGTCTGTGGTGAGAGCCAGGCACAAGAGTTGACACAAATGCTAGTAAAAGGAACAGGATTTGCAGTGACCTCATCAGCAAGGATAATGTTCACCCACCTGCTGCTAGAACATATAGGAAACAGGCTTCAGCCACTGGCCATTCCTTAGTCCCTGCCCCCTTTGTATTGACTTGCAACAAAATAGTGAGTTCCCCCAAAGAAAGACGTTTCAGTGGAAATAAACCCAGAGAGAATTTCTTTAATTTCTCAGACATTGTAAAACCTTACATGTCAGGGTCCCAGACCACCCAGCTGAAAGCCATGGCTCTTCCTCCCAGAAATCACACACAGAGACATGCATCATACAGATATGTGCTCATATGTACGTGTGCACACCACATTTGTACATGTCTGTATACATTCCCCGAAATCCAAAGTCTGGTTTTTTTTTTTTTAAGATTTATTTATTTATTTGACAGAGAGAGACACAGCGAGAGAGGGAACACAAGCAGGGGGAGTGGGAGAGGGAGAAGCAGGCTTCCCGCCAAGCAGGGAGCCCAGTGTGGGGCTCGATCCCAGGACCCTGGGATCATGACCTGAGCCAAGGGCAGACGCTTAATGACTGAGCCACCCAGGCACCCGGGAATGAATCTTTAAACGCTGGCTTGTCTTTGCTGAAAACAGGTGGGCTCATGATCAAATCAGAAAGATTCTTTTCCAGGCCCACTGGATCTTTGCCCTATAATATTTAATTATTTTGAGGGAGATATCAATGACAGCCCTGATACCAACCTGGGGCGATAAAAACTGGTTTCGTGTAGTTGGGCAAGTTTTTATGGCCAGTGGGCCCAGCCTTCAGGAGAATTAAAGGTGGAGTCTTCTGTTTCTACATTTTTCTTCTAATAAAAAATTTACTTTAATACTCAGTATAAGAATATATGGTTATCATAAAAAGTACAGAATTTATAGCGTGAAAAGTGAAATTACCTTTCCCCAGAGGCCACCGAACCTTTAACGCTGGCTCATAGCCTTCTCCACCTTTCTCATGTACTTACTTCATACGGTCTTGCTTCATATTTTGTATGGGTTTTTCATGGTCTAGCCAGTCCCCTGTTGCTTCCATATTCCCCCTTTATAAACAATGCTATACGGAACATCTGTGTACTACATCTACTAAATATACTATTTCTGCTTTCTGTATATACTGTCTTCCCACTCTCCTAGAATTTTCCCGCTACCCAAGGAGGCATGTGAAGTATTCAGTTATTTCCTCCCTAAGTAGTCAGGAACTTTTCTGTGCTATATTTTCAAGTGGGGCACCTTTGGGTTTTTTTGGTTCGGTTTGGTTTTGGTAACAGCTTTATTGAGGTATAATTCACACAGCATACAATTCACCCATTTAAAGTATAGAATTCAGTGTTTTTTTCCTGTATTCACAGGTAAGTTCTGTCATTGCTAGTCAATCTTAGAACAATTTCATCGCCTTAAAAAGAAATGCTGTACCTTTTCCATATCCCCTACCAATCCTAACTGGTGGTAAGCAACCATGAATCTACTTTCTGTCTACAAAATGCTTATTCCTGACATTTCATATACATGGAATCCTATAATACATGGTCTTTTGTCTCTGGCTTCTTTCACTTAGCATGTTTTTTCATATGCTTATTGACCATTGTGTATCTTCTTTTTTTTTTTTAAAGATTTTATTTATTTTTTTATTGAGAGAGAAAGTGAGCGCATAAGCAGGGAGAGGAGCAAAAGGAGAGGGAGAGAGAGAATCTCAGATTCTGTGCTGAGTGTGGAGCCCAACGTAGGGCTCGATCTCACCACCCTGAGATCATGACCTGAGCTGAAATCAAGAGTCTGATGCTTAACCCCTAGATCTTTAATTTTTTAAACAATGTTTTCTAGTCTTAAGAGTGTAAGATTTACACTTTATTTGTTAAATCTGTTCCTAAGTATGTTACCCTTTCTGCGTTGTTGCACACGGAATTGTTTTCTTAACTTCATTTTTGGATCACATACCTCTGTATTTTTATTTTTTTATTTTTAAAGATTTTATTTATTTATTTGACAGAGAGAGACACAGCGAGAGAGGGAACACAAGCAGAGGGAGAGGGAGAAGTAGGCTTCCCGCCAAGAAGGGAGCCCAACGTGGGGCTCAATCCCAGGACCCTGGGATCATGACCTGAGCCAAAGGCAGACGCTTAACGACTGAGCCACCCAGGCGCCCCAACACCTCTGTATTTTTAATACTCAGGTTTTATCCATGCTTTGTTCCCCAGACACTAGCTGAGCACTCCTTATGACACTGGAATGTGGGTTCCTTGAGGTAGAGACTGGTCTCCTGATTCCCTGCAGTGAACTTAACCAGTCTAACCTCATGCCTTTGGCTTTGTTTCAGGGTTTCTTGGAGGAGACCTGCCTCTTTTATGGACATTACACCATTGATGGAGTAAAATTTCAAAACTTCACCTATGATCTGCCCCTGGCTTATTTGTTAAGCACAATTGCCTACCTGGCCCTGAGCCTTCTTTGGATAGTGAAAAGGTAAAATTTATCAGGTCATCACATTCTTTTTGAATTACCCTTGATGGCTGGGGTTTATTGGTGGTCTGTGGACTCTGGGAGCCATTGCTCAAATGATGAGCAGAGTCCAGAGTCCCATAACAGGGTTATGGGAAGAAAAGTTTGTGAGTATGTTGTAGGCCAATGAGATCTGGAGGTAACGGAGGGAAGATTTGGGAGCTGGAACCACAGCCAAATCATTATTGCACACGTGTCAGGGCTGTAACGTGACCTTCTCTTTGATCTGGTGTGGTTGCTAATCAGTTCTCTATTGGGTTGTAAGTGGCAGAAACCCAACTCTGACTAACTAGAGTAAAGGGGAATTGAGAGAACCAAGGAAGGGAGGAAACTCCAAATTATAGGAAGGATAAGGCTATGGGTATGTCTTCCAAACCACCAAAAGCAAGGGCTCCTTCATCCCTGGTGATTCTCCTGGTGGCAGTTTCCTTATGTAGACTCCCAAGGTCACAGGTTCCAAAATCCTTTTGAAGAGCTGTGTTGGCTCTTCATTCAGGTACCCAACTCTGACCCTTCAACTATTGCCAGTGGGTCAAGATCATACGAGAACCTCGTATTTTCCATGGTAGACAGGTGGTTCAGTGGGAGATGCCAATTCCCAAGAAATGAATAGCAAGGAATATTAATTAAATTTTTTAAATTTTATTTAAATTTTAGTTAAATGAATTAAAATTACAAAGTGTACAACAGCATGGCATCTGACCTGAACAGGTGCTCACTAAATATTTGGTTATTTTACTATTTAAGTCATTTACTCATTTATCCATCAGCTGGATAGTGGTCATATTACAGTCCAGGCATTCCAGATATAAACATGGCAAGACAGCCTGTGTACCTGCCCTCAGGGAATTTAAAATGTAGTCAGGATAAGGGGCTACAGGCAATAAACACATAATGATAGCAGATTAGATTCAATGCTGTGAAGAAAATAGACTAACCTGAAGTGGGGGGGTCACAACTTTAGAAGGGGTGGTGAGGAATCTTTGGAAGGGATATTTGAGCTGACACCTGAATGATGGGAAAAAAGCATCTATGGGAAGAGGCAGGGGAAGAACTGACTGAGGAATGGGTAGAGCAGTCCTGTGAGTACAAAGGCCCTGAGGCCAGAGAAGTTTGTGAGTTTACAGAACGGGAAAAAAGCCATGGTCATCCCGGCAGCATGGCCGTGTGGGAGAAAAGATGGCATAGTGCACGACCTCTAGGCTGGGTTAAAGAGTTTGGATTTTATTCCAACTATGAGAAAAGCCCTTGGGTAGATGAAAGGAAATGATTTTCCACCATGAGCTACCTGGTTAGCTGCCACACATATGTAGCATGGTCCAAACTGGTCCCTGCCCAAACAAGTGGAAAATGCAGCCATGTGTAACTTTTTTACATGGTCAACAAAGCCAATCCACGGGCCTGTATTTTGTTGTTCTTCTAAGAAGGGTCATCGTGTTTTGGGGCCAGGTCGGTGGAAGGGTTCAAAATCAACCTGATCCGGAGTGAGGAGCACTTCCAGAGTTACTGCAACAAGATCTTTGCCGGCTGGGACTTCTGCATCACCAACCGAGGCATGGCGGACCTGAAGCACAGCAGCCTGCGGTACGAGCTCCGAGTGAGTGCTGCTGGGTTTTCTCTCGGCGGGTTCCTTGCCAGCCAAGTCGTGCCTTGGAAAGCATGGGGGGTCGCGGCGCAGCTTGCAGAGGAGCTGGGTGCAGGCCAGCCTGTCTCTAGTGCTTAGCAAGTTTCCCGTGTCATCTTCAAGAACTTTCCACGGAGGGGGCGCCTGGGTGGCTCAGTCGTTGAGCATCTGCCTTCGGCTCAGGTCATGATCCCAGGGTCCTGGGATCAAGCCCGTGTCGAGCTCCCTGCTCAGCAGGAAGCCTGCTTCTCCCTCTCCCACTCCCCCCGGTTGTGTTCCCTCTCTCTCTCTGTCTCTCTCTGTCAAATAAATAAATAAAATCTTAAAAAAAAAAAAAAAAAAGAACTTTCCACAGAGAACTGCCTCCTGAGGTTGATCATCTTCACCAAAGCATGGAGTTGGTGGACTGGGGATGGGCAGGAGGTAGGCACACGAGGGTGGGTGGGAGGGAATGGTGTCTTCCCTCCTTCCCCACCACCTTATACTGTTATTTTTCCACCTGATGAGAACCTGTCATGCATCACTTACACCAGGAGAAACTAGAACTAGGAGGGGATGCTATGATGATAAGGTGGAGTGGAGAGAATAAGAAAAAGTACAAGAGAATTTCCAGATTCATAAGGGGAGAAAGAGGAACAAACGGTATCTTGAACAAACCCACCCAAAAAAGGAGGAGATGATCATAACAAAAGCATAATAAAGTGACGTGGAAGGGCTCAAACAAAATGTATTCTTTGTCTAAAGGAATGACATAACTACATCTAAGTAATGCCATGGATAGGTTATGCTTCTGTTTTCACAGTTATTGCGAAGTCTAATTGCAGACTTTTTTTTTTTTTAAGATTTTATTTACTTGAAAGACAGAGCATGAGTGAGGGGGAAAAGCTAAGGGAGAAGGAAAAGCAGACTCCCCGCTGAGCAGGGAGCCCGATACGGGGCTTGATCCCAGGACCCTGGGATCATGACCTGAGCTGAAGGCAGACTCTTAACTGACTGAGCCACTCAGGCGCCCCTCCCTGCAGTCTTAGGCGGTTCTACCTTGGCTTAGACCCTTAGTAGACACGAAAGCTAGTTGGGCTTCGTCTGGGAAGATATCTACACGGAGATCGTTTTTTTTTTATTTAAGGAAGGTCTTCAAGATGGATGGATGGGGTATGACGATGAATCACAGGTTCCACCCCTGAATATCCCTTCACCCCATGCTCACGGATGAGTTTTCTTTGGCCCTCAGGCAGATCTGGAAGAAGAAAGAATACGGCAGAAGATAGCAGAAAGAACATCAGAAGAGACGATACGGATTTACTCTCTGAGACTGTTTTTGAACTGTATTGTTCTGGCCGTTTTAGCCGCATGCTTTTATGCAATCTACAGAGCGACAATATTCTCACAGGAGCACATGAAAAAAGTAAGTACTCTGTGAAAGCCAGCTTAACTTTTATTCTGGTTGCACATTAGGTATGCCAAGTGCATTACAAGCCTCTGACATAGAGACCGTCATCATTTTTGTTTTATACATAAGGATATCAGTTTGACTGCTATGACAGAGAACTGAAAATCATAGGTGACCAATTTCTATTTTTTTTTAAGATTTTTATTTATTTGAGAGAGAAAGAGATAGCGAGAGAGAGAGAGAGAGCATGAGCAGGGGGGAGAGGGAGAAGCAGGCTCCCCGCTGAGCAGGGAGCCCGATGCAGGGCTCGATCCCAGGACCCTGGAATCACAACCTGAGCCGAAGGCAGACCGTTAACCAGCTGAGCCACCCAGGAGCCCCTAGTTTCTACTTTTAATAAAAATACAGGAGCATCCAAAAAGAGTGTTTGGAATTCCTCCTAGAATCCATAATATTCAAATTCAGGTTTGCCTACCTAGATTTAATCCTCAATTCCACTACTTACTATCTGGGGCTCCAGTTTACCTAAAATAGCAGTGGTTTTAAAAATGTACATTGGGGGGCGCCTGGGTGGCTCAGTTGGTTAAGCAACTGCCTTCGGCTCAGGTCATGATCCTGGAGTCCCGGGATCGAGTCCTGCATCGGGCTCCCTGCTCAGCGGGGAGTCTGCTTCTCCCTCTGACCCTCTTCCCTCTCGTGCTCTCTGGCTCTCATTCTCTCTCTCAAATAAATAAATCTTTAAAAAAAAAATGTACATTGGTCTGGTGGCTTTGATTCATGAAATCAATCATTGGAGTTGGGGGGGTTCCTTCCATCTTGTGGCTCTGCCATCCGTAGGGCACACCCTTTCCTATATGGTACAAGATAGTTCAGCATGTCCACATTCTAACCAATGGGAAGGAGGTGAAGGGGATGGAAAGGTATACCCTTTTCTTCAAGGGCAAGACCTTTTAAGTGCTTGCACTTAAAACATCTTCTCACATCTCTTTGGCCAGAATTTAGTCAGATAGCTGTACCTTGCTATAAGGGAGGCCAGGAAATAATAGTTTTATCCCAGATAGACGTATTTGTGGCCAAATAGTTTATTACTCTGAAAGGAGAGAAGGGCTAGTCCAAATCAATAACTACTATGGCCTTGAAAATACTTTAAATTGCCCACTGATACAGACTACATGGATTTTTTTTTAATACTTGACCTTAATTAATCCACTAGAGCTAATTTTTCTTTGTTTGGTACTAGAGCATGATACCTCTGTTTGAACATCCAAGGAAGGAAATGGCTTATGTTTATTTTTATTTTTATTTTATTTTTAAAATTTTTTTAGAGAGAGAGTGAGGGACAGAGAGAGAGGGAGAGAGAGAATCCCAAGCAGGCTCCATGCTCAGCACGTAGCCAGACATGGGGCTCAATCTCACGACCCTGAGATCATGACTTGAGCCAAAATCAAGAGTCAGACACTTAAGTGACTGAGCCACCCAGGCGCCCCAGAAATGGCTTGTGTTTAGAGGCCATGTTGAATGACATATATGTTTTGTGTTGTTTGTTTATCTAAATATGTATAGTTGAATTTTTTTTCCAGTTTTATTGAGATATAATTGACATATAACATATAAGGTGTACAGCATAATGACTTGATGTACTTATAGGTAAGTTCTTTCAAGGTCAATTCATTTGTGATGTAACTTCCCTTTGATATCTTCATAGGAAATTGACAAGATGGTTTTTGGAGAGAACCTTTTGATATTGTACCTGCCTTCTATTGTGATTACGCTGGCCAATTTTATCACCCCAATGATCTTTGCCAAGATCATCCACTATGAGGATTATTCCCCAGGCTTTGAGATCCGGCTGACAATACTTAGGTAATGCCTAGACATGCCACGCAGGTCACCACTTGCCCACTTTTCTGCCCATGGCAGACATTGCTAATCAATTGTGGCACCTTTTCCTGTTGAGCCAAGAATCCTTGACAGTCTTCAGACAGCCCACCTGAATGAATCAGAGTTTGCCTATGCAGTGAAATCTCTTTGACTTAAGCATGTACTCAGCGGTATTGTATTTTTGGTTCATGTATTAGCACATCCACAGCTGAGGGCATAAGGTGCGGCCCTGGGATTGCTTGGAAGATGTTAGAAATGACGAGTGTATACCACCAACGGAATGAGGAAATGAGAGAGTGAAGGGAAGGCTGTTGATAAAGGGTTTCTTACTGGGGCTGCTGGCAGCTGGGGCTTGGCCCTACCGGACAACTGGGTGTTTGGGTGGGATATGTCTTAGTGGGTTCCCACCCACCAAGGTGTCCATCCTTTACTTCATAAGAGTAGCTGGCTCCCAGAGGCATCAATTCCCCCATGCTCCACCTCGCTACCCCCGTGCATGGGCCTTGGGAGGAGAGGAGAGGAGAGTTATCAGCACTTACATCAGGAGCCTGGGGTATCTGCCGGGATAATGAGTGCCAAGAAAGTGGGGCCAGGTCACTGACTGTGCGTGCTACAGCTAACTGCTTATAATTTGTTGTGATATCTCTTCTCATTCTAAATAAATACTCAGTTTCTTAAAAAAGAAACAAAGAAAAGAAAAAGAAAGGACAGCTGTAAAGCAGGGTCTGGGGAGTGAACACAAGTAAGTTGAAGAGGACCAGGTGGGGGACTGTGTGATACAGAGCGTTTCATGCCTCAGATGGCATTCACATTTTTTTTTAACTTTTTATTTTGGAAAATTTCAAACAGAAACAAAAGGTATAATAAACCTCCATATGCCCATCACTTAGTTTTGATCATTACCAACAATTTGCTAATCTTGTTTCATCTTTCCCCCCCAACACACTTTTGCTGGATTATTTTAAGCAAATCTTTTTTTTTTTTTTTTAAGATTTTATTTATTTATTTGACAGAGAGGCACAGCGAGAGAGGGAGCACAAGCAGGGGGAGTGGGAGAGGGAGAAGCAGGCTTCCTGCGGAGCAGGGAGCCCGATGCGGGGCTCGATCCCAGGACCCTGGGATCATGACCTGAGCCAAAGGCAGACAATTAATGACTGAGCCACCCAGGCGCCCCTAATTTAAGCAAATCTTATTTCACCCCTTTCCCCCCCTTAACAGACCATCATCACACCTTAAATTAAGTTGGTTCCCCGATGAAGTTGCAAATGACTTTCCAGGATTGGTTTGTTCAAACCAGGATCCAAACAAAGGCCACATGCTATGTTTGGTTGTTATGTCTCTTAAGACCCCTTCGTTCTTTTCAGAATTCCCCCACCTCTTTCATTAGGCTGTCAATTTGTGGGAGAAACTAGGCATTTGCCCTGTAGACTGTCCCCTCATGTGGATTTAGTTCATTGTTTCTTCATGTTGTGTCATTCTGTTGCTCGCAGTTGCTAAAAACTACCGTGTAGATTCCGAACGTCAGGTGGCATGCTACATAATGAGAAGAGTGAGCAGATGTGTGGCTTTGCTTTTCTCCCCACTTTTTCATATTTTGTTGTTGTTGTTTTTTACAACCAAACAATTGAAAAGCGTCTTTCAAAAAAGTTAGCCTACTCTGCCCTCCTATCATGAATCCTGCTTTCCCAGGTAGCCCTCATCTGTGGGGTTCCTGGTGTTTATTCGCACATTTTCTGTTTTTAGAAATAGGATCATATGTAAGTGACACCCCATAACATGCTTTTTCCACTTCCCAATGTATCAGACGTCACTCAGAGCTCATACTTAGAAGATTCGATTAGTTTCTTTCAGGAATGCATCATGTTCTATAGTCTATAGTGCGGCTTTGTCATCTGTCATCATGGATTCAGTTATTCCCAGCTTTCTGATCCTTTTTTTTCCCCCCTGCCATTTAAAAAATTGTAGCAAAATATATACGTAACATAAAAAGACATTTTTTTTTAAAGATTTTATTTTTAAGTGATCTCTACACCCAATGTGGGACTAGAACTCACAACTCTGAGATCAAGGGTCACATGCTCCCCTAACTGTGCCATTCAGGTTAGACATGTAAAAAAGTATTTGGGGCGCCTGGGTGGTTCAGTTGGTTAAGTGTCTGCCTTCCACTCAGGTCATGATCCCAGTGCTGGGATCGAGCCCCGTGTCAGGCTCCCTGCTCAGCAGGAAGTCTGCTTCTCCCTCTCCCCTGCCCCTCCCCCTGCTTGTGCTCTATTGCTTCCTCTCTCCTTCTCTCTCTCAAATAAATAAATAAAATCCTTTTAAAAATTTCTATTTATTTATTTAGAGAGCGTGCACAAGCAGGGGGAGAGGCAGAGGGAGAAGGAGAGAGAGAATCTCAAGCAGACTCCGTGCTGATGGCAGAACCTGATACGGGGCTGGAACCAAGGACCCTGAGATCATGGCCTGAGCTGAAATCAACAGTCAGACGCTTAACCGACTGTGCTGCCCAGGCGACCCTAGACATTTTTAAGTGTACAATTCTGTGGCATTAAGTACATTCCCAGTGCTGTGCCACCAGAGCTGCTATCCATTTCTAGAACGTTCTCAGAATCCCAAACAGAAACTCTCTAATTATTTGTGGGTTTGCTTTGGAGCTTTTCTGCTGTCTAGCCTCAGTTCCAAGGAGCCGGCCTGCCCTGAGCCTCCTCTTCCCACACCCTCTCCTCACTGTTTCCCCCGCAGGTGTGTCTTTATGCGGCTGGCTACCATCTGTGTGCTGGTGTTCACCCTGGGTTCCAAGATTACATCCTGTGATAACTACTCCTGTGAGCTCTGTGGCTACAACCAGAAACTCTACCCGGTGAGCCTGCAGGGAGGGGGGCATCTTGCAGGGAGAGGTCATTGTTGGGTGACAGGCTCAGCATCAAGAGAATGGCCCTCAAAGCTATGGGTTTGAATCCCAGTTGATCCGCTTTTCCTCCTGTGTAGCCGAGTCACACACAGGCACTTCTGTAGGCTTGAAAACCAGAGTCTATGCTGGGGCTCCGAGGAGCGTCAGCTGATGGCCTCCAGAAGCAGCAGGATCTGAGAGTGGACAGAGCATTGGAAGGAGTGTGAGAACCTGGCTTTCTCTGCCCCAAGTTGGGCCTCATTTTCTCTTATCTCTTTGGTTTCAGTGCTGGGAGACCCAAGTTGGGCAGGAAATGTACAAGCTGATGATCTTTGACCTCATCATCATCTTGGCTGTGACGCTTTTTGTGGATTTTCCCAGAAAGTAAGTGTGAGGGATACCCCTCTGATTTCCGCCTACCCCTCCCAGTCCCTTCCATATCCCCAGTGGAGGCTCCCATCAAAGCTGTTCTTCATAAAGTGCTGACAGACATCACTGACAACCATCCAGTGACTTTCAGTTGGCTCTAGGCCATTGACCTCATAGTCCATTAGGTGCCCCCTTGAAAGGCAGCATGAACCAAAATGGCGCTGCTTTCCATGAAGTTTCCATGGAGATGGCTTCTGACCATTAGCACAGCTACTATCAAGGGAGACCTTCCAGGTTCACACCCGAACACGGCCACTTGCTGGTCATGTGACCTTGGGCAATAAGCTCTGTGCCTATTTTCCCATCTGTGAAATGGGAATGGTAGCCGTAGCCACTTCACAGCACAGTTTGAGGATGACAGGAGAAAATGCAGATAAAAGTACTGAGCACTCAACAAAATATTATCTGTCGCTATCATGATTATCATTACCACATTGTCACTGCATTATTATTATTGGCATCTCCTTGAGCCTTAGGTGAAACTGTTTACTTAACCACGTTTTTACCCAGCTGTACAAATTATCCAGGCATGTCAGTAGTCCAGTAAGCCCTTAAAAATAAACTTTAAAAAAGAACCTATCCTTTTGTTTTTATTTATCTATTTATTTTTAAAAATTTATTTATTTTAGAGAGAGAGCATGCGAGCACACAAGCAGGGGAGGGGCAGAGGTAGAGGAAGAGAATCTCAAGCAGACTCCCCACTGAGCTCAGAGCTGAATGTGGGGCTTGATCTCAGGACCCTGAGATCATGACCTGAGCAGAAACCAAGAGTCAGACACTTTACTGACTGCGCCACCCAGGCAACTCTATTTTTATTTATTTATTTATTTATTTATTTATTTATTTATTTAGGGGGATTTAGGGGGGGGGGGAACGAGAGAGTGGGGGGTGGGGGTTAGGGGAGGGGCAGAGGGAGAGAGAGAATCTTAAGCAGGCTCTGCACCCAACACAGAGCCTGAGCCAAAATCAAGAGCCAGATGCTTAACTGACTGGTGCCTCGAAACTCTCCTTTTAGAAACCTACAAATATGACATGAGTGTGTACTTATTAAAAAATGTTAAATATTTAGAATACAGAAATAAAAACAGAGGCCTAGAGAATAGTGTGACTTCTCTTTTGTTACCATCCCCCTAGCTCCCCATTCCCACCTCATTTCTCAGAGGTAGATCCAACTTTGGGGTAGATCCAGCAGTCCTTACAAATAAAAACACATTTACAGAACTACCTATGCAAATAAACCCACAGTCTTGCTAGGAGCGTTCTTTTTCCCCCTGTAAATAGGATCACAGTGCATCCACATTGGTCTGCAGCTTGCCTTCCCCCCCCCTTTGGACACACAAAATACAATGAACAACTTTCCATATCAGGACGCGTGGATTTTCCTCATTTATTTTAAGGACTGTATAATATAAGTCCATGCCTTATAATTTGTCATTGTAGCCCCTACTGATGGGCATTTAGGTTGTCTCCAGTGTTTTTGCTAATATGAGACAGTCTACAGTGAACAACTCTGTGTGTTTTTTTTTGTTTTTTTTTTTTAAAGATTTTATTATTTATTTGAGAGACAGAGAGAATGAGAGAGAAAGCACATGAGATGGGGGGAGGGTCAGAGGGAGAAGCAGACTCCCTGCTGAGCAGGGAGCCCGATGCGGGACTCGATCCAGGGACTCCAGGATCATGACCTGAGCTGAAGGCAGTCGCTTAACCAACTGAGCCACCCAGGCGCCCAACAACTCTGTGTGTTAATCTCAAGCCCCTGGTCCTGGGGTTTCTGCAAGGAGTATGTAGGATTCCAGGAAGTGGTATGCTAGGCGGTAGGGTTCTCATAAGCCATTTTCTGTGTGAATGCACATTAATTTTTGGGCTCAGTGGCAAGCAAGAGCACAGAGACTGTCCGTGTCATTCATTGTCACCACAACCTGGTGGAGTAGGTTGTTATAATTCCCCCACATTCCAGATGAGGAGAACAAACGTTATCTAACCTTATTTGACTGCTAAGCTGTAGATCTGAGATTCAAACTCTGGTCTTAATGATTCCAGAGTTCCCTGCATTCTGCATCTTCTAGACATGTGACTAACCAGTTTCCAGGAGAAATGTGTGTGGAAACAGCCCTGATTTGGTGGACGTGGTTCTGTGGCCTTGGCAGGCACTGGCAGTCCAGGTGAGAAATTGTCCCCTTTGTTTCCAGGCTCCTGGTGACCTACTGTTCCTCTTGGAAGCTGATTCAGTGCTGGGGACAGCAGGAATTTGCCATTCCTGATAACGTTCTGGGGATCGTCTATGGGCAAACCATTTGCTGGATTGGAGCGTTTTTCTCACCTCTTCTCCCTGCAATTGCAACCTTGAAATTCATTATCATCTTTTATGTGAAAGAGGTAAGGAGAGCGGGGGCAAGGGGCTGATATTCTGGACCATTCTTGACCACGCAAGGCATTGGGCAGGTCATGTGTCTGCAGCCCACGCACATCCCACGAATCAAAATTACATCCCTTGGGACGCCTGGGTGGCTCAGTCGGTTAAGCGTCTGCCTTCGGCTCAGATCATGTCCCAGGGTCCTGGGATCAAGTCCTGCATTAGCCTCCTTGCGCAGCGGGGATCCTGTTTCTCCCTCTGCTGCTGCTCCCCCTGCTTGTGCTCTCTCTCTCTCTCTCTGACAAATACAGAACCTTTAAAAAAAATTACATCCCTTTTTTGGTGTATATTTTTATTCTGGAAAAAAAGACTTTGAATGGATTTCCACATCTTTATAATTTTGAGTTTTGTCAAGACTTTTTTTTGTTCCTGTGATTGAAATGTTTTTGTAAGTCACTGTCCAAGAGGGGAGCCACAGTTGAGCCATCAGTTGGCGGTAGCACATTTTGGTGATGTTTCACAAGACGTCTGTTAATTGAAGTTCTGTTACTTTTCCGTTTGGATGTTGGAGCCAATGTATTTATTTTCAGGTCTCAAAAGTATTTGTGTAGCTCTTCCAGTGGCTCACAGGCCCCGAGCACTGTGCCTGAACTAAGTGCTTATTGGGTAGAGTAGTCCTGTGGATGACTAACTGATCTGGGCTTATTAACTGAGCTGCCTTTTTAAAAATTATTATTATAGAGGCAATATATGCTCACTATTAAACTATATACAGGGATGCCTGGGTGGCACAGTCGGATAAGCATCTGACTCTTGGTTTCGGCTCAGGTCGTGACCTCAGGGTCACGATATCGAGCCCCACGCCCAGCTCCGTGCTCAGTGCAGAGCCCATTTGAGATTCTCTCTCCCTCTGCCCCTCCCCACCACCCACATGCTCTCTCTCTCTCAAAATAAATAAGTAAATCTTTTTTAAAAAACTATAAAGTATATACAGATATGCATATTGTAACTTCCATCCCTTCTTCTGGAGGTACCCTCTGTTAACAGGGCCCACGCTTACTAATTACCTACTATGCTAAGCCCTGAGGATTTAGAAATGGAAGTAATAATAATAAAGGTATTAATAATAATGACAGTAATAATGGTTGTAAGAATACCACGTGCCTCCACTCTGCTGAACACTTTACACAGGTTATCATGGAATGCTCACACATATCTTTTGAAGTAGGCACTGATATTAACCGTATTTTATGAATCAGGAAGCTGAAGTTCAGAGAGGTTAAGTAAGTGGCCCAAGGTCACAGAGCTTATAAGTGACTCCAGATTCCAGCACCTAAGCTATTTAATCCTTCGGTAAGCAGGGCCCTTCGATTGGGCCGTACTTCAGGCCCAGATGTTTTTTGGCCTTTGAAGAATGTTCTGGTGCTTTCATGTGGAAACTTGAGTTGGTCGAAGGCACCAAAGGAGAGATGGATGTGAGAAAAGTTAGAAGAAATTTTTCCTTTTCGGGACGCCTGGGTGGCTCAGTCGGTTAAGCATCTGCCTTCGGCTCAGGTCATGATCCAAGGGTCCTGGGATCGAGTTCCACATTGGGCTCCCTGCTCAGCGAGGAGCCTGCTTTTCCCTCTGCCTGCTACTTCCTCTGCTTGTGCTTTCTCTCTCTCCCTAATAAATAAATAAAATCTTTAAAAAAGAAAATTTTCTTTTTCCAGAAAATATTGGTCACCCAGTGCTTTCCGGGTATGTAGCCTAGCAAAGATGTGTGGGGGTAACGGAATAGGTCATGGGCACTAGGCTGGGTTCTGACACCACAGGCCTGACCAGCCAGCCACCCCCAAACAGGACACCAGGGGGCCCTAGCACTCATTGCTGTTCACCTCACAAGATTTTCTGGCTACTGGAGCAGTCAGAACAGCTTGAGGTCCCCTCCCAGTAATGTAGTTTTTAAAAATAATAAGGAGAAATTGTATGCCTGTTACTATACCCCTCCCCCCTTTCCACTTGATATTTCCACAAGTCTTTTTTGCCTCGATAGAAATATTTGTTTTTATTTTTTATTTTTATATTTCTAAAGATTTTATTTATTTGAGAGAGAGAGCATGAGAAGAGAGAGAGCAGGAAGAGGGGCAGAAGGAGAAGCAGACTCCCTGCTGAGCAGGGAACCCGACATGGGGCTCAATCCCAGGACCCCAAGATCACAACCTGAGCTGAAGACAGATGCTTCACCGACTGAGCCATCCAGGTGCCCCAGAAATACTTGTTTTTAATACAGAGGAAAAATAAATATGCTTATAAAAAATTCAAACAAAATCTCTCTTAACTTGTTCCTTGTTAGTGTAGATCCATTTAATACATATTTTAACTCCTATAAAGAATACTTTTTAAAAAACATAAATGAGATCATAGGGCATATTTCACAGTGCCATGCAGGATGTAGCGCTCTCTCACCCTCTCTAAGGGCTCCCCGGTATTGCACTGTGCAGATGCACTTGAACCTTCGCGCAGCCCCTGTTGATCGCTATTTAGGTTGCTTCCAGTTATTCCCAGATATCAGCACTTGCAGCAGTAAACATCCATATCTATGTATTTTGGCCCCTGTATTCTATTTTCTCGTCGGGATGAATTTCCCCAGGGTTGGGGCCTGGATTAATCATGTTTCATTTTGATCTAGATTGCTGACTACCCTCTGGAAAAGTCATACCAGTTTACATTCCCACTGGAATGCATAAATGTGCTCGTTGATCTTCAAGGGAGCTAGACTCTTACTTGTTTCTCATTCTTTCTCTCCCTTTAGATGAGTCTTCTTTATACCTGCAGACCCTCCCCAAGGCAGTTCAGAGCATCCAATTCTAATTTCTTCTTCCTGTTGGTGTTGTTGATTGGGCTTTGTTTGGCCATAATACCTCTGACAATCAGCATGGCACGGTAAATATGACTTTGTTTTCTAGAACATTTGCTTGCTTCTTGGCATGTCCCTCTTTTCTATTCAAGGGTCCCTTGCATTCTTTATTGGCTTTCCTCATGGGGTTCCACCTGCAGAAGTCAGTAAGTCACTCCTGGTTTGGCCAGGCCCACCTTTGTTTTAGAATCTCTCTCTGGATGCTGGAATGTCCTGGCCCATTTTCGGAAGTTGGGCTTGCACTGTTGCCATTGTTTTAAGAGAGTGCCAGTGGGTCTGTCCTGCCCTACTCCTTTTTCCTCGGACTTCTAGTCTCCTTTGTTTCTGATTACAAAAATAATACATGCTCACTGTAGAAGACTTGGAGTGTCTTCAGTGTGACAAGCACTGTGCTAGGTGCTAGGAGTATAGAGATGATTCAGACATGGCACAAGGAATGTAGAGTCTAGTGTGGAATTTGGTAAGAGCAGAAATGCTTAAGACTAAGGATCAGAAATTGAGGGTTCAAACCCCAGTGACCCTATTCCCTAGGACTATAACCATTTATATCAAAGGCTGGCAAACATTTTCTCTAAAGGGCAAGCCTAAATATTTAGGCTTTGTGGGCCCTATGGTGTCAGTAGCAACTGTTTAACTCTCTTGTGTCATTATGAAAGCAGCCATAGACAATATACACACTAATGGGCATGACTGTGTTCCAATAAAACTTTATTTATAAAAAACAGATGGTGGGCCAGATTTGGCCCATGGGCTATAGTTTACCAATCTCTCTGACTTATATTCTCATGGAATTCCATTTCTTTATCTTTAAATTAAAATTCTTTTTTGTTAAAGATTTTATTTATTTATTTGACAGAGAGATAGAGAACACAAGTAGGCAGAGTGGCAGGCAGAGGGAGAGGGAGAAGCAGGCTCCCCGCTGAGCAGGGAGCCCGATGCAGGGCTTGATCCCAGGACCCTGGGATCATGACCTGAGCCAAAGGCAGCCTCTTAACCGACTGAGCCACCCAGGCGCCCCTAAATTAAAATTCTTGAACTTTGAATCTGTCTCTCAGATCTTATTTTTTAACCAATTTGAGTGTATATATTTTTATTGTTTTTTGTTATGCTGATAGATATTATATAAAAAGTCAAACCGTACAAAAGGATATAAATTAAAGAGAAAAAATTGCCCCTTATCCTCCCTTCTTGGTCCCATTCTGTCAAGGTAACCACGATTAATATTTTATGATTACTTCCAGAAATTCATATGAACAATGTATTTACTTTTAAAAAAACACAAATGGAATAATGCTGAAACCCTGTTTGGCTGCTTTTTTTTTCCACTTAATTTTATATTGTGCCCTTTTCCATGCCAGCATATACAGAACTGTCATTGTTTTAAAATGTTTTTTAGCTTTGATTTCTTTATATAATAAATACATTCACATGACACAAAATTCAAAAAGATAAGGATATGATGGAAATTCATTTTCTAGTCCTGTTTCCCAACTACTTAGTTTCTGTCTGGGAGCCAGTCACTTCACATCTCTGTGTCTCTTTCAGTGGTTTTTTAGTACTCTGTTTTATGAATGGATCATAAATTATTCATTCATTTCCTTAAGCATTAGTTAGGTTGCTTCTAAGAATGTTTTTTTATCCATAAAGATAGGGCTGCAATGGAAAATCTTATACACAGAACTTTGTGATGTGAGTGTAGGCAATTCTTTGTAGGCTTTAATTACAATTTTTTTCCATTGTTATTTTGATCCCCCCCCTTTTTATTTTGAAAAATTTCAAATCTGTAGAAAAGTTAAAAAAAAAAATAGCAACAATGAAGACCCCTATACCCTTCAACTGGATGTCCCAGTTGTTAGTATTTTGCTATATTTGTTTTATCTCACTCTACATACATTTTTTATGTGTGTCATGACCCAATTAAAATTGTTATAGGCATTATGACATACCCAAATAATAACCTCAGACAACCCCATTTTGAGATCTGGGGGTGCACAGAAGATTGGAGCTAAATATTTGAGCATGCAGCTCCTAAAAATAAGAATATCCTCCTTCCCACACATCCAGAGTAACATTATCATATCTAATTAATACATCATATTTCTGCTGTTTTCTAATTTCTCCTATCGTCACCCAATAGTCTTTTATGGTCTTATTTTTAAAACTCTTTTGAGTTTTGCCCATTGCTTTTGATTGCTATGTCTCCTTACTCTCCATTAATTTTATTTATTTTAAGTAATCTCTACAGCCAACGTGGGGCTCAAACTCACGACCCTGAGATCAAGAGTTGTATTTTCTTCTGACTGAGCCAGCCAGAGGCTTCTCCTTATTCTCTTTTAATCTTTGATTCTTGAGGGGCACCTGGCTGGCTCAGTTGGTGGAGCATATGACTCTTGATCTTGGGGTCATGAGTTCGAGCCCCATGTTGGGCGCAGAGTCTATTTTTTTTAATTAATTAATTTAAAAAAATCTTTGATTCTTTGAAGAGTCCACAATAGTTTCTGCACCTCCAAATTAAGAGACTGGTGAATAAAATCACCACCACATTCTGGATCTGTTTGATTGTTGTCTCATAGTGTCATTTAAATTGCCTCTTCTGTGCTAAATTTCCTATAAACTGGAAGTCAGTCTAGAGACTAGATGAAGTTTCAGGGTCAGCGTTTTTGACCAGAATGTTCCAGAAGGCCCATACGATCAGGCAGTTCCTCTCGGGTCACTGATAACAAGCCGGTGGGTGTGCAGAGGAGGGACGCTCAGCCTGTACTGTGTGCCTCACCCTGAGCCCCTGGGTCTATGTCTTGGCAGCATCTCTTCCTCGAAAGCCTGTGGGCCATTCACCAACTTCAACACCACCTGGGAGGTGGTCCCCAAGACAGTGAGCACCTTTCCCAGCTCACTGCAGTCCCTGGTCTATGGCGTCACATCGGAAGCCTTTGCAGTGCCTTTTTTCATGATCATCTGGTGAGTGAGAACTGCCTGGACCCTTGCAAGTATTCTCCATTGAGGCACATGGAGCTTTCTCCACTGGGAAATGGGAGCTCACCTGCTACACTCGATAAGTTACCGAACCTCCCCTCTCCCTCTGCCCCCTCCCTGCCTGTGTGCTCTCTCTCTCTCTCCTCACTCTCTCTCTCAAATAAATAAATATTTAATAAAAAGTGGGGGGGGCACCTGGGTGGCTGAGTCAGTTAAGCATCTACCTTTGGCTCAGCTCATGAGCCCGGGGTCCTGGGATGGAGCCCCAAGTTGGGCTCCCTGCTCAGCAGGGAGTCTGCTTCTCCCTCTCCCTCTGCTTTTCCCCCTGCTTGTGTTTTCTCTCTCCTACTCTCTCTCTCTTAAATAAATAAAATCTTAAAAGAAAAGTTTCCAAACCTCTGTGAGCCTTACTTTCCCATCTTTAAAATGGGCATCATAATAGTGATTTTTTTTTAAGATTTTATGTATTTATTTATTTATTTAGAGGGAGAGAGAGAGAGAGAGAGAGAGAGAGAAAGCATGCACATATGAATGGGGGAGGGGCAAAGGGAGAGGGAGAGAATCCCAAATAGACTCTGCGCTGAGCAGGGAGCCTGCCACAGGGCTCGATCTCACGACCTTGAGATCATGACCTGAGCTGAAACCACGAGTTGGAAGCCACTGGGAGGCTCCATAATAGTGACTCTTTAAGAGGGTCATTGAGCGGGTTTGGTTAAGATCCCGCAGCTAAAGCATTTAGCTCAATGCTTGCCATAAAAACCCAATAAACATTGCTGATTAGTATTGATTATTTACAAACTCACTTGCACTTTGATAAAGAAAGTGACTGGGGTGCCTCAGTGGCTCAGTCGTTAAGCGTCTGCCTTCGGCTCAGGTCATGATCCCGGGGTCCTGGGATCGAGGCCCACATCGGGCTCTCTACTCAGTGGGAAGCCTGCTTCTCCCTCTCCCACTCCCCCTGCTTGTGTTCCCTCTCTTGCTGTCTGTCTCTCTGTCAAAATAAATAAATAAAATCTTAAAAAAAAAAAAAAGAAAGTGATTACTGGGCAAAGAAGAGCACTGGATTAGAAGCATGCACTTGAACCCTGGCTTTACTACTTATACACAGTTCGTGTTCTCCCTGTGCCTGTTTCCTCACCTGGAAGATGGGGGTAAGAATGGCACATACTTCATAGGGTTGTGAGAAGAAGGAAATATGGCTAACAAAGTAAAATGCATAGCAGAGGACCTGGCCCTTAGTAAAGGCTCAGTAAATCACAGGTGTTGTACATCAAGGTAACAAGTCTTTGCTGCATAGTGATTCATTTTGAGTGTTAAAGTAATTCTAGGGCCACCTGGGTGGCTCATTTGCTTAAGCGTCTCTTTTTTTTTTAAGATTTTTTAATTTATTTATTTGACAGAGAAAGAGAGAGAGAACACAAGCAGGGGGAGCGGCAGGCAGAGGGAGAGGGAGAAGCAGGCTCCCCGCTCAGCAAGGAGCCTGACGTGGGGCTTGATCCCAGGACCCTGGGGTCATGACCTGAGCCGAAGGCAGACACTTAACCGGCTGAGCCACCCAGTTGCCCCTAAGCGTCTGACTTGATCTCAGCTCAGGTCTCAATATTAGGCTTCACCCTGGGTGTGGAGCCTACATTAAAAAATAATAATAAAATAATTCTAATCACAAATGTACACTGAGGTCTTACTATGTGCTAGGTGTTGTTCTGAGTGAGTCTATCCTCATTATTCATGGACTCAATTTTTTTTGTCTGTGTTGTGAATATGCCTACTTGCTAAAAATATTCTGCAACCCCCAAATCAATACTCGAAGCAGTTTCATGGTCATTTGTGGACTTGCACAGAGTAGCAAAAAATTGGAGTCACCCAAAAAGCACTTAGTCTGTTTGGGCTGCTAGGTGGCTTATAAACAACAGGAATTTATTGCTTATAGTTCTGGAGGCTGCAAGCCCAAGATCAGGGTGTCTGTCAGTATGTTAGATGAGAGCCCTCTTCTGGTGTTAGATGAGAGCCCTCTTCTG